CCTAGTCTTGGAGAATTAAAAAAGAAGGGCTCCCTTGGCATTTCTCAAGGTGAAAGAACTTAAAAACAATTGGGGAGGAGAAGGCCATACTTAGAGATGCCATCAGGAAAATCTTGAATGATCCAAGAAGCATTAAAAGAATATGGAGGGAATACACAAAGTCACTGTACCAAAAAATAATTGGCTGAATAATTAATACTGAAATATTTCAGGAAGTACTATATGATGAAGAAGAAATGGTGATGAAGGAAGAAGTTGAAGCTACATTGATGGTGTTGGCAAAATATAAGGTCTCAGGAACTGATGTGATACCAGTTGACATGTTTCATATAACAGATGCAGCCCTAAATTTGCTCACCAGTCTATGCCAGGAAAATTGGAGGACAGCCGTTGGGCCTGCTAACTGGAAGAGGTCCATATTTTGCCCCATTCCCAAGAAAGGGGAACCAACAGAATGTGGAAGTTATTGAACAATATCATTAATATCATTTGTAAGCAAAATATACTGAAGATCATCCAAAACCACTTACAACAGTACATTGACAGAGAACTACCAGAAGTTCAAGCTTAATTTAGAGAAGGCCGTGGTACCAGGGATATCACTGCTAATGTCAGATGGGTCCTAGCTTAAAGAAAAGAATACACATTGATGTTGGGGGGAGACTGAAAAAGATGGGATACATAATGTATACTGCATTGAAACAGATGAGGAAGAAAAATGTTTAAAAGGAAGGGATATGTGATTAGGTATTGTTGTCATGACAGGAGTCTTGTACATTTTCATTAAAATTAATTTTTTAAAAATGGAAAAAGAAGAGAATACAATTTGTGTTATTAAATATGTACAAAAGTGTGTATCATAACAAATTATTACTAACATTGAGAAGAATTAGAATCCTAGAATACTTAATTGTGCTCATGTTAAACCGAGACCAAAAGTCTGTTGTCTAAACAGCACAAGAGAACGCTTATGTGGTTTAAAATTCAGAAAGATATAATCAGGATTGTATCCCTCTTCATACCTATTCAGTCTTAATGCCAAGCAAATCATTTGAAAATCTGAGTTTTTTGAAGAAGAATGTGGTAGTTATATCAGAGGAAGACTCACCAACATCTTGTGTTATGTAGATGACACAACCTTGCTTGATGAAAATGAAGATAACTTAAAAATCTTGAATACTGCAGCCTTTAATATGGACTATACCTCAACATCAAGAAGATAAAATTCTTCAGCACTGGACCAGTAGATAGGATAGATGGAGAAAAGACTGAGGTTGTCAATAATTTCATCTTAGATCCACAATCAACACAGAAGTTAGAAGATGATTATTGTATTTGTGTGTGTGTATCTGTGTGCATGTGTGTATGCATGCTTGACACAACATGGATTAAAACACAGATCATTATTTAAAATATGGTTTTATTATACATGAATCCACAATCAATGCTAATGGTAACAGCATTCAGGAGATCCTGAGTTGTATTGCATTGGACAAGTCTGCTGTCGGGGATAATATAATGTTGAAGACTAAAGTGTCCCTGATTCAGACCATTATCTTTTTAATGACTTGCTATGCATCTGAGAACTGCACAGTGAACACAGATGACAGAAGAATTGATGCCTTTGAGTTTTGGTGTTGGATGAGATTAAATATTAATGACAAAAGAACAGACATGTCTTGGGTAAAGTCCAGCCAGAAAGCTCCTGGAAGTAAGGATAGCAAATCATCTCACATACTTAGGGCATGTTGCTAGGCAAAGCTATTTCTTAGAAAGGAAAATCATGTTTGGAAAGGTGGAGAGTCATCAAAGGAACAGAAGACCCTCAGAGAGATGGATTGACACAGTAACTGCAGTAATGGTCTCAAGTGTGTCAGAGTTGATTAGGATGGCACAGGAACAGGAAAGGGTTCTAATCTGTTGTTTGTAGGGTTGCTATGAGTCATACTCAACTCAATGACACGCAAAAACACCAAAGACATTTCATGGAGCAAGTTTGCTGTCAGAGACCTCTCTAAATTACTGAGGAGCAATTATATCAGTTTGAAGCCTAAGAGGCACTTGCCTGATTGAGGCCATGGCCTTTTTAAATACTTACTATGCATCTGAAAGCTGGACGGTGAATAGGTTGACCAGAAGAGGTTATGCCTTTGAGCCAGTATTAGAAAAAGCACTGAATATCCCATGGACTGCCAAAAGAACAAACAGATAAGGCTTGGAGAAAGTGGAGCCAGAGTGCTCTTTGGAGCCAAAGGTTACACAACTCCATTTCACAGACTTTAGGCTTATTATGAGGTGAGACTATTCCTTGGAGAGAGAGATCAGACTTGGAAAGGTGGAGGGTCAGCAAAAGAGAAGAAGACCCTAAAACAGAAGTACTGACACAGTTTCTGCTGCAAAGGCCTCAAATATGTGAGAAATAATGAAGATGGCAAAGGATAGGACAGGGTTCAGATCTGTTTTTCATAGGGTCATTTTTAGTTGTACTCAACTCAACACGTCATTTATTATACATACTGGTTATTTTTTCATTAGATGGTATCTTTCTCCATTAGTCAATAAACACTCCAAGAGCAAAAACTAGTAATATTTTCGTTTGCCATGTAATTGTTTTACTTTGGGTTTTTCTCTTTTTAAGTAAATGTTTTGTTTTTGTGCCAGAATTATTTCACTCTCGTTCCTTTTCAGAGTTACTATCTGTTTGCAACAGTATTTGCAGGCTCTGTTTTAGGATCCTGCTTTTCAAGACATGTCTCTTCACTTGCATCTTAATCATATGACATTCTTATTTCCATTCCACCCCACCACCCCACACACTGTTTGGATTTCCCCCACCCCCTTTTCCCTTTTTCTTTTCATTCTTTCTTATTTTGTATGTTAAGCTAATTCTAGGTACTTGTTTTTCATATCCTGATCTTGAAATCTCAATCTGTGACTGCTATCTTGATGCTCCTTAGTTTCTTTGCTTTTTTTTCTATTTCTAAAATTAATTTTCTTTGTACCAGTCCTCTATGAATTTCATTTTTAATCAATAGTTACAAAAATCCTATTTTATACCTGGAAATATTTTTCCAAGGGGGAAAATGTCATTGGTTTTTACTGTCTCATCTCTACCCTACAAGGAGCTTTGATGTTGTTGCTGTATGCTGTCAAGCAACCCTATGTACAACATCTCTGACCCCTGCTCTATCTTGAGCCAATTTCATTGTCTTTGACACACCTACTCCCCTTACCCCAGTCACTGAGTCAGTCCGTCTCATAGAGAGTCTTCCGCTCTTGCACTGTCCCTCAAACCTTTCAAGCATAATGTCCCTCTCCAAGGACTTGTCCCTCCTGGCCACATATCCAAAGTATGTGAGGATGGGACTTCAAAATCCTTACCTCGAATGAGCAGTCTGGTTTCACCCTCTCTAAGACTGACCTGTTTCTTCTCTTAGCAGTCTATGGTATATTCAGTACTCATCTGCAGCACCACAACTTAAAGGCATTTATTCTTCTTCTATCTCCATACCTTTTCAACCTATATGGAGAACAGATTATCCGGGAGGCTGGGCTCTATGAGGAGAAATGTGGGGTCAAGATTGGTGGACGATTTATCAACAACCTGCGTTATGCGGATGACACAACCCTGCTTGCTGAAACTGAAGAGGACCTGAAGCGCCTGCTGCAGAGTGTCAAGGACTGCAGCCTACAATATGGATTGAGGCTCAATGTCAAGAAGACAAAGATTCTCACCACTGGACCAATTGGCAGCATCAGGATGGATGGTAAAGAGATTGAGATTGTACACAGCTTTAGTTTGCTTGGCTCCACAGTCAGTCTTGGCACCAGCAGCCAGGAAATTAAAAGATGCATTGCCATGGGAAAGTCTGCTGTTAGGGATCTCTCCAAAGTACTGAAGAGCAATGGTGTCTCTCTGGAGACTAAGGTGCATCTGATACAGGCTATGGTCTTCACAATCACTTCTTATGCATCAGAGAGTTGGACAATGACCCAGGAGGATAGAAGGAGAATTGATGCCTTTGAGCTGTGGTGCTGGAGAAGAGTACTGAGAATACCATGGACTGCTAGGAAAACAAACAGATTTGTCCTGGAAAAGGTTAAACTGGGTGGCTCCTTGGAGGCAAGGATTCTGAGGCTCCATCTAACATACTTTGGACATGTTGTGAGGAGAGACCGGTCCTTAGAGAGGGACATCATGCTTGGGAGGGTGGAGGGACGGCGCAGGAGAGGAAGGCCCTCTATGAGGTGGATTGATTCAGTGACTGGGGTAATTGGGATGGGAGTGTCAGAGACAGTGCGATTGGCACAGGAGAGAGCGGAGTTTAGGGCTGTTGTACATAGGGTCGCTATGAGTCGCAAGCGACTCGACGGCACATAACAACAACAATAACAACTATCATCCTTAGTCATTTTCCAACTCTCTGATGCCTAGCAAGTAATTACAAAGACCATGGCCTAGATCAGGTGCACCTTAGACTCCAGACTGACACCATTGCTCTTTAGTACTCTGGATAGGTCCCTGAAAGCACATTTTCCCAATGCAATTCATCTTTTGATTTCCTGGCTGTTGGTACCAAGAATACTGATTTTGGAGCCAAGCAAGCTGAAACTGTGTTAACTGTTAAGTCTCAATCTCTTCTCCATCCATCTCTCATGATGCTGCCAGTTGGCGCAGTGGTGAGACTATTTGTTTTCTTGATGTTGAGCTTCAAACTAGAATTCACCAGTTACTCAACATTTTATTGAAATGCAGATTCCCTTCAATATAATTTAATTTTCAACTGAAAATTACATCGTTTTATATTACCCTTTAAATTTATTCATGTCCTCAATTTTGAAAATCTACACAAATATTTCTGTGTATATTTATGTATTTATAATTATGCGTAATTGTTATTTATGTTATTTATTTTGTCTAATTTTTACTAATGGTAAGCAAGGCAATTTATAACTTTGTGACTTTTGGTTATTTAAAATTTTTTCTCATTCTTTAACAGGTCATTGCTTTAGTAATGGACATATTTACAGATGTGGACATATTCAAGGAAATAGTTGAAGCATCAACTCGAGGCATATCTGTATACATTCTACTTGATGAGTCAAATTTTATTCACTTCCTAAATATGACTGAAAAACAAGGTTGTCAAGTTCAACGTCTCAGGGTAAGGATTCCATGTCTTTTTTTGCCCCCTTTCAGGTTACTGAGTTTCTTTGTCATCTCAGCCAAATTAAGTTATGCTAAAGTGTATTATGGCAAAATAAAATAGAAAAACAGTAATGTTTAAGGTGAACTTGAAAACTCATACTCACTGCCATTGTATCAGAACTAACTCATAACTCCCCCTCCAGCTGGTTTTTGGAGGTAGTAAATCACATGGGAGGAGTTTGGCAATATTCCTCCCTCAGAACCACAATGGAAATACTGGAGAGACAGCACCTTTGAGTTAGCAGTGCAACTCCCTGTGGAATATGCCTCCAGAACGCCCTTTTATATAACTTAAAAATAAAATAACGTGGCGAGCTCTGGTGGCCTAGTGGCAAGAAGCTGCACTGCAATCCCAGAGCTGATCGGTTCAGATCCACCAGATTCTCTGCTGGAGAAGAAGGAACAATCTCCTGTACCAGTCAGATCCAATTTGATGGTACACACACAGAAAATAATAAAAATTTTAAAAAATAAAATAAAATAACACACAAAAACTCCACTAAAGTCTAACCAAAAACATTTTCATGCATGCTTTACAAAAGTCTTTTAATACTTTGATAGTAGTTATAATTAATGCTTCAGTTTCCAAACTTGAAATCCTGGATTCACCTGATTGATTCAGCAAGTGGTACTTATCCAAATTATTAGGCTTAAGGTTTTTTCAGCTACATTTGACTTTTCTAGGCAAGAATAGATTTTCTTGCTATTTTAACATCATGCTGCTATACTCCAGAATATTTCTTTCTTTTTTAAAAAATGTGATAAAATAAATATTAAGAAATGGTTGCCATTTCAACATTTTTTCCCATCATCAGCTCATCATCAGCTGTGGGAGAAAGATAGGCACTCTCCTCCCATGCAATTTACTGCCTCTGAAAAGTCACTAGAGGGTCAGCTAGTGGATTGATTCCAAGCTGATAGTACATAACTACAACTTCAACAGCATAGATTATGTTCATCATGGTGTGCCACTATCACCATTGAGGAAAGACTTTTGTTTTGAAGGATTTTCATTGATTTATGGAAACAATCTCAATGGCATAGTACTATCTCTTACTTAAATTATGTTGTTTTTGTTGTTGTTATTGTTATTATTAAGTGTCACCGAGGCATAGATGACCAGACTGATGCTATGAACGAAAGACCTGAACACTTGAATAACTTTCATCATTTCTTCAAGCTCATAAAATTTCCAGAGGCAAGATATTTTGGAAGTGGATGCCACTCCTGCTTCCAAGTTTGTTTTAATTTGAGAGCCCCACCAAACACTTGTTCACCATGGGTACTATTATCACATTTGACACATCAGTGTCACAGTGATTAGCATCACAGCAACCACGAGTTACCTCTGTACAGCAAATGGATTCCAGATCTTTACTGGTGAATAAATGCGTTTTTAAATAGGAGGCCAAATACAATCAACTCACAGCCAAACGCCAGTAAACAATGCCCCAGAGTCTCACCAAACCAGAAATCAAAACTTATTTTTTTAAATTTTATTTTATAAATCAAAACTTCTATAGAGTCAGACTGCTTCAGAATACTCCCCACCTATTTTAATGTATTATTTTCCTGGAATATTTTCTTTTTCAGACATATTCGAGATTTGCTTTTCACTTTTTTTGTGTTTTATATTTTAAACATGTACTTCAAACATATTTATGGTATTAAGATTTTATGTTGACATATATTTTACTTTTAAAAATTTCTAGTCATCATTTTACTTTTTATGTATCATTCATTTTAGAATATCCGAGTGCGGACTGTAAAAGGCCAAGATTATCTTTCAAAAACAGGAGCAAAATTCTATGGAAAATTGGAACAGAAGTTCTTGTTAATAGACTGCCAGAAAGTTATGTATGGTTCTTACAGGTAAAAAATCACTGTTTTCTCATTCATCTAAATAATTTGTTTTAGCAAAAGATAGTAATGTTACCTCATTTCATTAATAGGGAACTCTGGTGGCTTATTGTTGTTGTTGGGTACCATCAAGTCGAGTACAACTCATAACAACTCTATTAACAACAGATCTGAACCCTGTCCTATTTTGTAGCATCCTCATCAACTCTGACACACATGAGGCCATTGCTGCAGTCATTGTGTCAGTCTCTTTTGTTGAGGGTCTCTATTTCACTGACACTCCACCTTTCCCAGCAAAATGTAATTTTCCAAGGAGGAACCTCTCCTAGCAACATTCCCAAAGTATGTGAGATGAAGCTTTGTCAACCTTGCCTCCTAAGGAGCATTCTGGTTTCACTTTCTCTAGGATATATCTGTTCTTTTGTCAGTCCATGGGTTGGTCAGTACTCTTCTCCAACACTGTATCTCAAAGACATCAATCAGTTCCTCTTCTATCATCTTTATTCACTGTCCAGCATTCAGATGCATAGCACGTGATTGACAAGGCTACGGCCTGAATCAGGGGCACCTTATGCTTCAAACTGACAGAATTCAAAATTCTTGTTCCTCAGTAATTTGGAGAGGCCCCTGACAGCAGACTTGCCCAGAGCAATACAGCTCCTCATTTCCTGACTGCTGGTATCCAAGAGTGTTGATGATGGATATAAGTAAGATGAAATTGTCAGCAACTTCAATCTTTTCTCTGTCTGTCATGCTGTTGCTTATCAGTAGAGGTGAGGATTTTGTCTTCTCGATGTTGAGATGCAATCCGTATTGAAGGCTGTCAGAGTTTCAAGTTTTCTCACTTTCGAAAGCAAGATTGAGTCATCTCTATAACTAGACTTGTACTGCTAATACAAAGGTTCGTGGTTTGAATCCACCACCTGCTCTGCAGGAGAAAGATGGGCAATCTCCCTTCATAGGATTTACTGCCTTGGAATACTGCTGGAGAGTCAGGTATGAATCTGTTCCAACTCGATAGTACACAACGGCAACATATAACTCTTTCTTTATGTACTCCTAGACCCAAGTTTTAATTTAGGCTTTGCTTCTAAAGACCTCTTAACACCTTTGGCATAGCAATTTCTTGGGTGTTAGTTCTTTGTCCAGCAAATGAAGGTGATGATATCTATCCAAGGGTCCTTACAGCTGTTTAATAAAACTTCCTTTGTATAAACAGTAACGAGTGTAAATTTAATGGCAGTTATTCTTTAATGTAGAACTTTTTTACTACTGCAAAGAACCAGTGGAGTGGGCTTTTCTTATTTTTAAGCTATTTTAAAAATTGCTATTTAATAGCCATTATTTGGCTATTTATTAAGAAGATGATATCATATCACTGTAAAAGACAAAAGAAATGAAAACATAGCTATTGCCAAGTTTCTCCTTCGAGGCTAGGATTTTGAAGCTCCATCTAACATACTTTGGGCTTGTGGCTAGGAGGGACCAATCCTTGGAGAAGGAGATCATGCTTGGATGGGTAGAGGGACAGTGCAGAAGACAAGATCCCGGATGAGATGGATTGACACAGTTATTGGAGCAATGGGGGTAGGTGTGTCAGAGTCAGTGAGACTGACTCAGGATAGGACAGGCTTCCAAGCTGTTGTACATAGGGTCTCTCTGAGTCACAGCTGACTCAACAGCACATGACAAAAGCAACAATATTGCCTTTATCAATTCTTACTCCTGCAGAGTGGATTCTAACCACGTGCCTTTTGTATTGCAGTGCTTTGCTGCATTCACCATGTCAATCCAGTTTGTTCCTGTCTTTCATTAACTGGCCACCTTTACAAGCATAATACCCTTTTCTAAGGATTGTCCTCTCCTAGCAACATGTCCAAAGTATGAGAGACAAAGTATTGTCATTCTCGTCTCCAAGGAGCACTCTGCCTGCACCTTTTCAAAGGTGTGCCTGTTTGTTCTTTTATCAGTCCATGGGATATTCAGTACTCTTCTCCAACACCACAGCTCAAAGGCATCGATTCAAGGATGTTGATTGTGGATCCAAGTAAAGTGAAACTATTGCATTTTAATCCTTTCTCCATTTATCATGATATTGCCTGTTGGCCTAGTGGTAAGGGTGTTTGTTTTCTTGATGTTAACATGTAATCCATATTGAAGGCTATAGTCTTTGACCTCATGCAACAAGCACTCTGTTCATTTGCAGCAAGAAGAGTTGTGCCATTTGTATAACATAGATTGCTGATGAGTCTTCTTCTAATCCTAATGCCATTATCTTCTTCATAGTGTCCAGCTTCATAAATTATTTGCTCAGAATACAGAATAGATAGGGAGAAAGTATTCAACCCTAACTTACACCCTTTCTGATTTTAAACCATGCAGTCTTCCCCTGTTCCATTTGGACAACATCTTCTTGGTCTAGGTGTAGATTTCTTAGAAGCACAATTAAGTCTCCTGGGATACTCATTCTTCTCAATATTAGCCATAGTTTTTTGTGACCCACATAGTCAAATAAATGCTTTTGCATAGTTAATAAAACACAGATAGACAATCTTCTGGTATTCTCTGCTTTGAACCAGGATCCATCTGACACCAGCATTGAAATTGATGGTACCATGGCCTCTTCTAAAGCCAGTTTGAACATCTGACAGCTCCATATTTTAGCCATTTTTGGATGATCATCAGCAATTTTTTGCTATCATGTGATATTAATGATATCGTTTGATAATTTCCACATTTTGTTGGAACATCTTTCTTGGGAATGAGAACAAATATGGATGTCTTCTGGTCAATCAGCCAGGCAGCTGTCCTCCAAATTTCCCTGCATAGATCTGTGAGCCTTCCAGGGCTGCATCTATTAACTGAAACATGTCAACTGGTATCCCTTTTATTCCTGGGGCCTTAATTTTTTTTTCCAGTGCCTTGAGCACAGCTTGAACTTCTTCCTTTGTTATCATTACCTCTTATTCATATGATACATTTAAAAATTTTCCAGTGTTGACCAATTCTTTTTGGTTCAGTGATTCAGTGTATATCTTCCATCTTCTTTTAATGCTTCCTGGAGTATTTAAGATTTTGTCCATAGCATCTCTCAATTCAAGGCTTGAATTTACTTTTCAGTTCTTCCAGCATGAGAAATGCGAGCAAGTAGTCATTTGTAATACAAAACAAAACCACACACTAAACATACATTACTAAATAAAAATAAAATAAATAAATAAATAACAACCCACCTTCCTATTGAGTTGATTCCAACTCATGGCACCCCTCTGTGAGGTTTCCAAGGTCATAAACCTTCACAGGAGGAGACTGCCCATTTCTTTCTCCTGCAGAATAGTTAGTTGATCTTCTGCTTTTCCAAGCATGATGTCCTTTTCCAATGACTGGCCTCTCCTTGTACGGTGTCCAAAGTATAGGAGACTAATTTTTACCATCTTTGTTTCCAAGGAGCATCCTGACTGCTTTTCTTCTAAAACAGATATATTTGAGTTTTGACCATTCGTATTCAATAATCTTTGACAACACAGGAGCATTGATTCTTATGCCTAAATACACCATATGACTTAAAAATGTCAATCTTGAATGTGTTTTGTAGAAAAGACACATTAACAGGATAAACTCACCAGAACTCATTGGAGCTGCTAGTACATAGGGGTACAGTGGACTCATTATTAAAGACCTAGAGTCAAAGCCTAGAAAGTTGGGGATCTAAGTAAGTTAATTAATATAAGAGAAGACACTTATTTCTTTATCACTTAGCAAGTCCATGAGAAGGAGGCAGTATGTTGAAATGAATGACCTTGTATAAGATCCTTAACTTGCTTGACTTTAGTTTGCTCAATTATAAGAAAGATAATCATAGAACCTAATACATAGTGTGAAGATTACATGAGCTAATGCTTCTGAACCTCCTAATGTTAGCTATTATCTTGGACTTTAACTGTCATTATCTCCTAATTTTCCCTGTAAGTTCAGGGACTTTTTTTTGAAAATGCTGTTTTGAGATCCAAATGTAAGTTTGTTCAAGTAGAAATTACAACTAGTCCTTTAAATTAGTGTGTCCAGTTATAGTCTATCTGTGTGTTTGTGTGTGTGTATATGTAATTGTTCTGATCTCCTCGGTTTTAGAGTTTTTAATTACAAGTTTAATTAAAATTTAGAGTTCACTTGACTTATTATTTAAATAATAAGTGTTTTTATTTAAATTCATCATAATTTCTTAATTATGTTTTCTGTGTTTATTATTTGACTTTTAAAATGGACCTTCAAGGAGTCTAGGTGTTTAACTGCTAACTTAAAAAAAAGTCAACAGTTCAATCACACCAGTCACTGTGGGAGAAAATGATGAGGCAATCTGCTTTTGTAAAGATTTAACATCTCTTGGGACCCTATAAGCCCATTAACTCTGCCCTACATTCAGAATAGCACGTCAAACCTCTCAGTTGTTCCTCAGAATACAGATGTGGTAGTCTGCTTCCCAAAAGATTTACAGTCTTCGAAACTCTATAGGGCAGTTCCAGTGAGTCCTAGAATCACTGCGGCAGAATCTATTTGGTTGTTTCTCCTTTTTGGTATGCTTATGTGTTGAGGTGACAGTGACTGAACTTCTTAGGGGGAAGTCCAGGGGGAAAACAACCCATCAACATCAATAACCCCTAAACTCATCAGTTTTTCTGTCTGAACTTACTTTACTTACTCACTTGCTGGCTTTTCAGCTAGAGGCAAAATTTCACCTACTACTTAGGAAAGTTTATGTGGAATGTTAAGACTACATATTATAAAAATTTATCAAAGCCTTACCTAACAACCCTGGCTTCTTTATTGCTTTAAGCTCACTGAGACTTTGTACTTCTTAACAAAATGAATGGTTGCCAGCTATTGCCACTTATTTTTCCTGATTAACGATCATGGACCTTTCCTATTACTAACACAATTGTAATGGAATTTGGTAGAGCAATTACAAACCAATTTTCAACAAAAGCAGTTAACATTTCACTTCCTTTGGGCTAAAATTTGCTTAAGTCCCTCCTATTCTAGAATTGCAATTTTCTCCCCTTTTCGTTCATAGGCAAATTATTTTCTAACTCAGAATTCTTTGCCAGAGAGTGTTAAAAACACCCCAAAAAGCTCTGGAATCAATGCCCACTGTAGTAACACTCTTACCATAGGGACACTCACTCACAGGGTACCAGTTTAAAACTCTCTTCATTAGTAACTGTTCCTTGAAAAGAATCTAGAAATGAAATAAAATAAAAATAGGAAACACTAATTATTATGAACTTACCAGGAAAACAAAACAGATTCTTTGGCATCACATAACATTAACAGTGATAAGAGAAAAACTGATGGAGGGAAAAAGTACCCCACACACTTTACAGGTGATCCCATTGCCGTGAAGTTGAACTCTGACTCAGCATTGAATCAATGTGTTGACACATAATATTTTTCAACTTGGTACCCTATTTGAAATTGCTATATGAAAATCAGGGAAATATTAATAAAATATTTTCCCCCAGATATGACTGACATGATTTTATGAATGTCTTTTTTTTTTTTAAATTTTATTATCACTGTGGAGCTAACTTCCAGTTGGGTTTCATGGAGCCTAGTGGCTCTGAGGTCCAAGTGCTAGAAGCTCCTACATTTAGAGCTGTCTACCACAGCTACTTCCCCTTCACATCCCCCTCACCCTTTGACTCACTTCACTTTTGAAACCTCCTAGCTGGGAGGGAAGAGTGTTTGACCCAATTCTTTCCATGGAAACTTATAACTGCTCCTTCCCTCTCTTTTCCAATATGTCACTGTGTAAGTGCATCCTATTTGGAGGAGATAGGCGATAATAAACTTATTTTTTTTAACATGAATGAGTATCTGCACAGATTTCTAAAAAGTGATTCAATGAAGCTATGCAGGGCAAACAATAATTCTTGGATCTTTCTCTATCCACCCCTAGTTTCTAACCTCTATATTCAACTATTTGAGGTGTTTTTTAGTTATTCCCTTTGGTATTTATTTCACTCTGCTAGATAATATATTGTCATTTCTTGTTTTATCAGTTTTAGGTCTTTATCATTTGATAAATAGGTAATTAAGAAAAAACATTTTCTATCCTGCTTCCTTTCCTGTCCTTTGCAGTCTTTTTAATAGAGTACAGGGATATAGGATCATCCAGATTTAAGTAAAACCTTTTAACCTTTTTCAATAAAAAATCTTTGCCTTTTAAGTATCTACCATGTATCAAGCCCTATGCCAGCCACAACCAATTGGAGATACGGTTCTTTTTATTCACTGTCGAGTCAGAACCAACACATAACTGACCATCCAGCAGGATTTCAGTGGCTAACACTTGATCGTTCTAATGCGAAACTTATACTTGGACCAGGAGGCAGTCGTCAGAACAGAGCAAGGGAACACTGCATGGTTCAA